ATTAAAATGGCATTAAAATTTCAGTTGTAATTACAGAGAAGTTTATACATATATTGGTATTTGGTCTTTTATTTCCCATACATATCATAAAATTCTGTAGCAGAGAACAGTAATTTGCAATGAAATCAGAGTAAATATTCTAAATGAGGAGGCATCTTGGTGTGCCTTAGTAGTAGCACTGCCCTATGAGTAGCATTGTAACACTGTCCTCCCGTGGCTCATCGATTTGCTCAAGCAGGCACCAGTATTGTCTCTATTGTGAGATTTTTTGTAACTGTTTTTTGCATATCGAATAGGCCATGAGGAGCTTGCCAGGTTCTGCCATGCAGGTGGGATACTCTCAGTAGTTTGCCGGGTTCTCTGAGAGGGATAGAGGAATCGAACCCAGGTTGGCCACGTGCAAGGCAAATGCCCTACTCGCTGTGCTGTCGCTCCAGCCCACCTTAGTAGTAAGCACTGCAATTATGTTCTCAAATAGTGAAGTATCAAGGATAGAGTTACCTTCGCTCATCTCATGTCTAGAGCTTGATCTTGAAATTTTATTAGTATTTAATGGAGCATTTAATGTTTTTCAACTTCTCTGTACTAATTGCCTACTTCAGGGTTATCATAGACAATTAGAAGGAACCAAAACACAATAGATATCTCTTCTGTCATCTTGTGAATTATCAGGAAACTTTTATAACAAATTTAGGAAAAGATCTCAGAAATTAGCAACAGTCTTAGACGCTTCAAGTCTGTATTATTTTTCTCAATTTCACTCTTAACTTAATTTCTGATGGGTCACTAGTTCCAGGAAGTCCAAGAAATATGCTTAATTCTTGATGTCATGATTTTCAGGTGTCATAAAATAAAGTGTAAGTTGACAAATAAGAAATGGTAATAATCAAATCTATAGAACATTCCCTTCATTCATCATGCAGTGTGGGCTGGAACCCAAAAGAACTTCAACTTTAAATTCGCTAAAGTAATTTTCTTCTATCATCCTGTAGAACACAATGTTTTCATTGTCTAAAAAAAAGGCATTACCTTTGTATTTAATAGAAAAAAATCTTGCTTTTTTGTTACTAATCAACATCTGATAATTGATCTTACAAACACCATAAATTATACTTATTACTACTACTATAGAGTTTGGTACAGTTGAAGGTACTGAGAAATAATACTGAGGGTAAGGTGGTCGCTTTGTACATGGCCCATCTTGGTTCACTCCCCCCTGAAAGCCCATAGGGTACCCCCAGTACCACCAGGATTGTTCCCCGAGTATATCCTGAGGAGAAAATCCTGAACACAAACAGGTTAGCAAAAACAACCCAATCCCACCCCAACCAATTTGACACATGTGACAGTCAATCCAGCCAAGTGAGGTGAAAGTACATTTATATATTTAAATATATTCAAATGTTTAAATAAAAATATTCAAATATTCAAACAATCTAAAAGGTGCCCTTTTCTCTGTTAAAGAATTGGTGAAATTGAGTTTTTTTCTCCTTATCCATAAATTCTTCACTTTTAGAGTTTTTAATTCCTTTAAACCTTATGTTTATTTTCTGTCTAATCCTTTAAACACTTCAGAACAACCTTTTCTTATATTCTTTCTGTCTCCGTATACCTATTCTAAATCCTTTTATCTGCTTGTTTCCCCAAAATTTCTTTAAGCAAGAAACTTAATTTTGAATTCATACTTGGTTTTGGACGCTTACAGAAATTAAAAATAATTTTAAAATCCTAGAAACTACTTTTAAGAATAAAAAATTGATTAACAACTAGCACACACACATGTGAGTATGGCAACAATAAAGTCACAGTGAATAACTGAAATTCTAATATATCAGTGTTTTAATAATTATTTATTTCCACAGTCTTTGTGATTTTTCATTCTATGTCATGTTGCCTACCTTCAAATTTTACAGAAAACTTCAAGGAGTTAGCTACATACAGCATGTCAAAAAACATGTGACATTTGTCATAATGAGAGTCCCATTGACTGGCATATTTTTTTCATTTGTGCAGGATGTGATATTAAAATTAAGTTACATCAAATGAAACTCAACTAATTCATCTTGAATATATCTCACTCTTAAGAGTAATATTCCTGAATAAATTATAGGGTTTAAATTTGAGATAAAAATATAGCATTAACATTTTTTGTATTAATTTTGAAAGAGCGTGGTATCTAAATATAAACCAATCTTTGGATGTCAGTACCCACTTCACAGACTTATTGGAAAAGTTAATGAAAGGTTATAACTATCATAAATGTTCTTTATCAGGCTTTAATTACTGAAGCAGGAATCTAATCTTGCTGGTTTTTAACGAAAGGTAGGATCGTTCCCTAATTTAAAATGTTTTATTTTAAAATCTCATTAACATGTCTCACACAAATGATGTGATATGTATATGCTAAACTTATATATATAAAAGTCATTGCATTATATATATAAAATTTATAATTTATTGTATGTGCATTATATATAAGTATATAAAATATATGTACATTTTAATTTAAAATGAATGAAAAGAAATAAAAAAAATAAAGTGAAAAATATTTTTAAAGAATAAAAGTTCTTTTTTTGTTTGTTTTTGTTTGGGGGCAGCACCAGGTGATGTATATTGCCTCCTCCTCCTCGGGACCATATGTTGTACCCTGTATTCAATGAGAGTCAGCGACATGCAAGGCAAGTGCCCACAGTATTTCAGCATGCAGGTCAAAGAATAAAATCTCTATTGCAATATTCTACAATGCAGCTAACTTGACAAAGAAGTTAGAAATTAGGATATAAAAATTTCATTTTTAAGAATAGACCACATCAAAACTTACTTTGTTGTTGTTGCATGACAGTGATTCTTTACTTTTCCTCAATTTTTCTTATGCTTACAGTTTTATAAAACTTTTCTTTTTGAGGGGTGGGGGGCAAATCCATCTGTGTTCGGGATTTACTCCTGGCTCTACAAGAATTGTCAGGGCTTAGGGGATCATATTGGGTTCTGGGGATTGATCAAGGCAGACCTTGTGCATGGTAAATGCCCTATCCACAGTGCTGTCTCTCTATCCCCAACATTGATAAACTTTTAACTTTTTCTCCTGCCAAGGGGCAAAAGAAGGACTATGTATTACTTAGAACTCATGGAGTTTGAATGTTGAAAACTCAGAAAAAAACATATTCATGTAAGAAAGCAATTAAAATAGGTTCATTCCTTTAGGATCTCAGATAATTCTATACCTATTGTGGCACATCACTATTCTCCTAGACTTTGAAATATTCACTCATAAACACAAGGAACTCATAAAGCTGTCTTCAAAACAGTCCCACAAATCCATTTCAATCATCCAAGTAAAACAGGTTAGTTAACATACAGAACAAATGCACGTCTTATTTGTTTTATAATAGTAAAGTAAAAAGCACGGATCACTATCAAGAGTTGAAAATGTTTAGCAGGATCTAATGATTTTGTCAGTATATTTGGGGAAAGCAATGCCCCGAGTTCACTACATAAGGTTTTGTTTCCTTTAATCCTTCTGCTGAAGTTGCAGGCAGTATTAGATTTTTAAATTACATTAGTGTGAACTTTCATTCTTCATAGGGAATACATTAAAGGTAGCCACTATTAAAATGTATTTTGATATATATTGAAGAGGAAATGAATTTCCACCCTATTAGACCTGTTTTAATATTCTTTAAGCATGTTATTTGTACATTTTATTATAAGCCATCAATAACTTCTGGATGATTTTTTTCAGCAGGAATGAAAGGTAAGGATTTATTTTTAATTATGGTGACATGTACCCTCTATCTTTAACACCCAAGAGAAGGATAAATTCATAATTTCTTATGATAAGGGGAATGTGAGGATAACTGTTCTTTTCTTATTAATAATTTCTATTTCTATAAGGAAAATAGACTGAGAATCTTTTCTGGAGGTTATACTTTTAAATAGGCAGATTAAAATCAGTTATGAAATAGCTTCTGAAGTTTGGATGCAATTGGAGCTCATTCGTAGCCTATTTCCATCATAATAAGATGTTAAAAGTGAGAACAGAGGGAAAAAGGGCTGATTCAGCCCTTGACATAATACAAAATTGTTCTCCACAGTAACATTCAAGGTTTTGTCCAGACTGGTAAGGCACTGAGATCTCACGGCCTCGATTTTTTTCCAAAGCGAAAAATCTGTTTCTTTAAGTAGTAATGAATAAGTCTACCAAACCTTTTTTGGTTTCATTAGAAGGTAAAAAGAGAGCAGTATTATAGGAGCTATGCGTGAAGGAAAATTGGCATAGAGGTCTCAGCTAGAAAAGGCAGTATCTGAGGTAGCACAGATGGTTTTGTTTCTCCCTCTCAATTCTGGCTGGTGGAAGCAGCAGTAATTTAAGGTGGAATTGAGGTAGTAAGAGGAAACCCAAGGAATCTGAAACACGACTTATTGTGTTCATGTGAGGGGTCCTGCAGATATATTAGAATCAAAATGATGTGAACCTGGACATAAAGATTACTTGGTTGGAGGCGGGAGTGGGGTTGTGAGAAACATTTCCCTATCATAACAAAACGCAAGGTCGGGATTGCAACCCCCACCCTCTCCACTCTGGAACAAAACAGTGTAAGCTCTTAGAAAATAAGGGGACAAGCAAACCTGTGCCAATGAAAATGCAGAACAGACAATGGGGGTGCAGATGTGTATCCAGGGGCAGGAAATGCGTGCTCAGGAAAGAATAGAATAAAACAATTTATGGTCTTTTGGATGGAGAGAAGACATTAAAAAAAAGAGGTAAATGTAAAGGTAAAGGCCCTCCCGTTGATCATCGATTTGCTCGAGCGGGCCCAGTAACGTCTCCATTGGAGACTTTGTTGTTACTGTGTCTGGCATATCAAATACATCACGGGAGCTTGCCAGGTTCTGCCCTGCGGGCTAGATACTCTCAGTAGCTTGCTGGGCTCTCCAAGAGGGGCAGAGGAATCGAACTCGGGTCGGCCATGTTGGCTGCGTGCAAGGCAACCGCCCTACCGCTTGGGCAGCACATATACTAAAACTGGAACGATACAGAGAAGATTAGCATGGCCCCTGCGCAAGGATGACACGCAAAAAAAAGAGAGAGAGAGAGAAATTGTCAAGAACGTACACCTTAAGGGTGCTTGCTGTTTGACTATTTGAAATATCCCAGACTGTGCAAATAATGTACCCATTAAATTTAGATCGGCTTATGAACCCCTCCTGGATGGATAGAGATTAAAGGTGCCAATCCGATTTACTTTATTATGGTAAATTGATGCAGGGCAAGTTTCCCTTGGGAAAGAGAATGAAATTGCTGAATTACTGCTAAGTTCTCCACAACTTCTTTATGTTGTGTGAGATAATAGTTAGATAAATTTCCATAAATTAATCAAAATTGTCCTTCTTGGAAATTTAATTATTGAATAAAGAAAATAGGAGAAAATGCTATGGAAAAATGTCAAAGGGTGATACAGTGTCTCCAAGAGTGTGTTTAAAATGCCAGTCAATGCCAAAGGCACCTTCTATGAATGTTTTCTTGCCTCATTTAATACTTGTTAGCACTAAGTTCCATAAATGGATGACCTAAGTAATTGCTTCTATAAACCTCAGATGATTTCAAGCTTTTGCTTCTCACTACTCCAGGAAATATCTCTACATAAATGAAGCAATTTCTAATTCGCATTTTGTTTTAGAGGACATCAAACGAAAAAAAAAAGGCAGGGAAATTGAATCTTCTGAATTGAAGTGTTTGAATACTCTTAGAATTCAACAAAAAATGAGCGCAAAGTTTTATGGCATATGTGATGAACACAAGCAACTGTTTTTAAATTATCAAGGCATTTTAGAGGTAAGAACAGGTTTATGAGGGCAAAATAGTTGGTAGGTTGGCTTGTCTTATATTTCAAAATTACTAATATTGGGGCTGGAGAGATAGCATAGCACATAGGGTGTTTGCTTTGCATTCAGCTGACCCTGGTTTGATTCCCAGCATCCCATATGATCCCCCGAGCACCGCCAGGAGTAATTTCTGAGTGCATGAGCCAGGAGTAAACCCTGTGCAATGGCCGGGTGTGACCCAAAAGCAAAAAAAAAAAAAAACCAAAATTACTAATATTATACTTTCTTGGTGATATAGGATTCTGGCAAGATGCCAAATATATACTTTTGTTACTAGATAATAAGCTTTTTTCTAGGAAACATTTAACCATTTTCATAGTATTCTCATATTCAGCACAGTAATTGGTATAAGTCTGCGCAGATAAATTAACAAATGAATAAAATATTCAATGTTAAATACATACTAGAAATGTACATTGTTCTACAATGAAGTGTGACCAGAGTAACTGTTTAGGATAATTTTTGTTAATAAAATAGTGCTTACTTCAACTCTACTACTTGTAATTAAAATCACCCACTTATTGTTTATTTAATTCAGCATAAAAATGCACATCTGAAGTAACTAATGAAATGAAAATACTTACGTTGAAGGTGATAACAATACATTGATTAAATAAATGTAATTTGTCTTCCATAAAACTCTTGGAATGAATCATTTCTAAAAAACAAAAGCAGGCAATTTTCTAAGATATCTGCATATGTGGTCTTAGGAGTTTTACTTGGATAATAAAAATTATTCAATAAGGAACAAGGTGGATAATATTGTATTCATGGACACTAATTCAGGAGATGAATGAATAGAAATAGCTAAAAATAAAGTGTAATGCTCTATATATTTTTTTTTAATTTTAAAGTGGGCTGGAGCGATAGCACAGCGGGTAGGGCATTTTCCTTGCTTGCAACCCATGTGGTCAACCAGAATTCGATTCTTCTGGCCCTCTCAGAGAGCCCAGCAAGCTACCGAGAGTATCATGCCCGAACGGCAAAGCCTGGCAAGCTATCTGTGAGGTATTCAATGTGCCAAACACAGTAACAACAAGTCTCACGATGGAGACGTTACTGAGCTTGCTCGAGCAAATGGATGAACAATGGGAGGACAGTGCTACAGTGCTGCAATAGCCATTCAAGTAAATGTTAAAGCACTGTTGAGTTTTTCTTCTTCTGAGAAGGGATTGTATATTTAATGGAGCAATGGGCTCTTTCAGATAAAGGTGGGGTGAATGAACAGTTGTTGATTCAGAATAAAGGATGGATGAATAATCACTTGGTTCTCCTTTCACAGAATACTCAATATTTCTACATAAAGCAAGTTGAACAATGTTGAAGAAGACTCAAATTACTTTCCCATATCTTTCAGTTCTCTTCTTCCAAGAGCTACACAAATGATAGCTAGATGAATTTCTAAGTTGATGTCTACCAATTATACATTTTATTAGACTGTCAGTCTTAATAAAATAATTCAGGCAGACTTGTATTTTATGGTTCAAGAAGTAATGGTGCTTTTTTAGAAGGTACTTTATAACTAAAAGCTACTTACAAGAAAAAAATTTGACTGGAAATTTTTTATGAGTGTTGAGGTTGATCTAACACCCTGCAGTTTAATTCTCTACATTTATGTTCCCTCTAGTGATCTGGCTATTTTTATTTATTCTATTTCGTTTTTATATTCTTATTCTTTTGAATTTTGTATTATTATTCTTTTGTATTTTGTCCATACTTATGCTTGAAATTAACTGGAGCACTGGTTTTAAGGTATTTATGCCTTAGTGGAATTGTATGTGCATGATTTGAAAAGAAAGTTATAAGTATTATATGTGAAATAAGCTACAAGTTATTTTATTATAAAAGTATTATATGTAAAATAAGCTAAAAGTTAAAGTATGTGAAATAATGAATATGTAAAAGGATATATTTTCAAGAAAGACTTCATGGATTTAGGTCTGACAACTGGTTTAATACTATTTACATTTGCTCAAAAGTGGATTCTTTCAGAACTGTTTTGTAATGGGGATATGAAAAGTTTCAGTTTAGGCAAGTTAAGTCTGAGATAGCTATTACACATCCAGTTGGTAATTTTAAGTACAAAATTCATTATTCAAACTTTATTTCTGTGGGTATGTCAAAACTGTAGGTAATTTTGTGAATCATCATCATATAAATGTTATAAAAAGACATGCGACTGGATGAGATCACTAAGGGAGTGGGTGTAGAAAGGAGAGGAACCAACAGAGAACCAAAGGCTGAGACCTGAATCATTTTTGAAGCAATACCATAACATATAAAAATGTGTTCAAAACTGTATGTGACTTGGAATTATGAGATAGTACAATAAATCCAGTCTGAGGATCAACAATTTTCCATACAGCTAGCTTTAAAGAGTCTAAATGTATAGATTAAAGTTAACCAACCAACCAAAACAAAAAAAGAAAAAGAAAAAAAGGAGGTGAAGAGAATTTCCAGATGATAGGTTCTACAAAAAGCGGAGACACAGATTGTTAGCAACAAGACTGCTAAGATATAATGTTAGAACTAGAATAGGGTAATGAGTGGAAGATGATGTTCATGAGAATAAGAAATAGAATCAATCATCAAAATTATTTATTATATTAAAACATCTTTCATGGGGAGAATCTGTGGCTTTTATCTATTTCTGAAGGAAGATTTTTTTATGAGGAAGCCATACCTGGCAGAGCTTAATCTTGACTCTTTGATTCAGAGTTATTACTGATCATGTTCAGGGGATGATGTGTGTTGCTAAAGATGGAACAGTGTCAGTTAAGCAAGGAAAGTGTCTTAATCCCTATACTAACTCTTTGGCCATGGAAAGTAGAATAGTTTGAGTAACCATGGAAGGTGGTGGTGGGGGGAGAGTTAAGTTTATAAAACTTAAAAGAGTTTCTCTGTTCAGTATTTGCATTCAAGAATCTGGATGGGACTACTGAAATAATGAACATTGCAGAGGGCTTCAATGACATTTTCAGGAAATTTTTAGAACCTATACTTTAACTTCGAAGGGACTGGATGTGCATTTTTAATGATATTAATATGCTTTCATGATGCATATTGTATTACCATTTATGTGGGATAGATTTGAGGAAATATGGATAAAGTATAAAGAGATCATGCTATTATTCATGCAAGAAGTATCTAAGAATCAGAAACAATAGTTTCTTAGTCTTTGTGGATAAGGAGATGTAGGAACTCTCTGGTGAGAATATACATATGAATCCATATATATTTACAAAGCAGAGCTAGTGAACAATGATATGAACTGTCATTGAGTTTAGAATTTTAAGAACTCTAAAAAGACAAGAAAACATGAAAAGAAATTCTCTTTAATAGATTAATATCTATTTGAGGTGAACAAAACTTTTACAATTTCCTTATTCATTGTGTCACCCTCATAAATTTTCCAGGGACAATTTAGAATAAAACAAAGCATTTTAGGTAGTACAGTTTAATGGGAAAAAATGTGCGCACTTTTTACATATTAAAGCAAAAACAAGAACTATTTTTTTATATAATTTCATAAGACGAATCACCATAAAGAGGCAGAACAGTTCTATGCCTGTCCAAATGGCACTTTAATACTTTGTGGTTAACCTTTTTTCCCAAGTCAGCTCTTCCTAATTGTAGATATATAAGTTCCTAGAATATTCCAAAATGATAAATACATGGAATCAGAAATAGCAGATTTTAAAATGAGTCTTTAAGTTTCACATATTTAATGGTATAGCAATTTGCTCTTTTAATTGCCTAACATTCTTTCTTTGTGTGGATATACTACAGTTTGTTTTACCCAGTTATTCAGTCTGGGGTATTTGAATTTTTTTCAGGTTTTAATATTTATAAGTAGAGTCAGTATAAGTATTTGAGTTCATATTTTGTGAAAACATAACTTTTTATTTTATGGTCTTTGGGGAAATTGTGGAAATATATTTAGAGAGGGTTAAGATAATGAGTAAAATTCTAAGTAGATGCTTACCTCTATAAAAAGTTATCTTACTATTTATGTATTTTTCAGAGGTAATTTTGTATTATAAAAGTGTGTTATAAGAGTGCATGACTTATAAGAATTATATCTTTATGCTAATCTTGATAGAAAAGCTACTATTTTTGTCTTGCATAGTATTTAACCTAGAGACATATATTTAAGTGTCTTCCATGTCTTTGAATGACCTGATAAGAATTATGTATATATATATGAAGGTATATTG